GTTTCCTACTAACAGAATAACATAGTTACTAATAATTATTCAGCTTTCTTGTCTTGATCATAATTCTTGTATGTGTTCATGATGAAGGTTAAGAGCTATCTGGCTCCATGTGTCTGTCATTACGTCAGAAAAATAAACAAGAAATCTATATTTTTGTGTGTAAGAAATCTCCACTTTCCACGTGTACCATCTTCAAGTACACAAAATATAAAATGTCAAATCATCGAATATTTCGTGTTACATAAGATTATTCTCTCCTTTTGCAACTTCTTAGCGCTAGTCATGGATTGCTTACATCTCTAATGTAAATATCATATCTGGAGTCTTAAATTTGCGGATATTACATAAAAAAAAATATAGCAGCAAGTGTTATCAACTTTTCAGATATTTCTGAACAAAAGTAATAAAGAATTTCATTACACAATATTAACAGACGATAATGATACAGAACTGAACAGCAGGATAGAAATTCACTTTTTCTTTAACTTAAGGAACAGATATGGTGAAGATGGGATACCATAGTATTGTTGTTTTATCGCTGAATCATCTACTACTTCCTGCTCCACTTCCAAAATATCCACTTACTCCGCCTGGACATAGCAAGTACTCCCTCATCCTACACTACTAAAGCCTCTACACCCTGTTGCTTTAAAACTACTAAAGATTATTCGCGTGTATATGTCTATACAAACATATATGTATATAGGTAGATAGGTAAAGAGTTAGATAGATATATATATAGATAGATAGATATAGATATAGATATACACATACACACACACACACACACACAAGGTGTCACAGAAGTCGCGCACTATCCTAGTTTTCAAAAAATATACCTCTACTGATTTCAGAAACACCTTTATTTATTTAAAAAATACCGTCATTGTGAATACTACTAATAAAAAGCAGCTCAAATTTAGCACCATCTGCAATAAAACACGCATTAATTCTCTTTATCAAACTGTTTTTCACACTCTTGAGGTTTTCTGCACTTAGCTTTTCTTGCATCCTTCAAATCATTAAGAGTACGATTATGGTACACAACAGATTTGAGTTGTCCCCCAAGGAAATAGTACTGTAAGATCTGGTGATGGGGGTGGCCACTCCACGGGACCTCTCCGTCCAATCCATCTGTTAGGAAAGGTCTGGTTCAAGTAGTTATGCACACAATTAACAGTGTGCTGGAGCTCCGACCAGCTGAAATAAGAAGTTTTGTCGTTAACTTACGGGAGCATCCTCAAGGTAGTCAAACAATATCTGTAGGAACTCTAAATAGGTTTCACCAG